ACACTGATGATGTCTGTCCAGGCTCTTGGTCCAGTATCCAACACAGCCTGGCCTGGAACTCCTGTTATGACAAACTGCACCTCAGGGGATCTGAGGCTCATCTGCTCTAGCCTAATGCTGCTTGGGCAAGGATGGTACCCTATGGAGACTGGCAAGAAATACCACATGAAGGACCAAGCAGGCCCTTTGCTTCCTTAACCTCAGCATGTGTGCAAAGCTGTTCTTCCATTTAGGAGACTCACATCGAATCATGTGCCCTGTTTTATGATAATGCCATTGCTGAGGCCAAGCAGCCTAATGCCCCAGGCACCCATTGGCCAGATGCGTCCAGCACCCATCCCACCATACAGCAGGTCTCCATGTCATTTGGGGACACTGGGTCTGAGAGAGAGACTCAAAGAAAAGGAATCAAAGGGTTGTGAAGTAGCCTGATCCACAGGCTCAACAGGAGGCGTGGCCTGGGGACAACAAATACACAGACACTGGGGCAGGAAGGAAACCCAGGAATGCTCTGGTTCTTTTACTTTAATTTACACATGAGGAAATTAAGGCCTAGCTAGGCAGTACAGCACAGAAAAGGCCAAGCCCAGAATATGAGAGATAAGCCAAGGAAGATGGAGAAGAAACAGGACTAAACTATCGGCACACCTGAGAAAGAAGCACCAGCTCTATCCAGATCCTCTCCTAGTTAGAGTCGATCTCCAGTGCTCCCTTGGCAGGGCAGGTCCCGAATGACCAATGACAATCACTATATGTGAAAAGTAGGTCATGGTGAATGCTGACATCCCAGAGCTCAGGGTTAACATAGAACCCAGGCCACTTATAGCAACCTCCCACTGGAGACTTAACTGCCCGCCATGTCATCTCCTTGCTAGCTGTCTTTCCTTTGCCTGGCTAGAGGTGTCCCCTCTAGGAATGGGCAACTTGCTGCTTCATAAGACAGCTTCATATTTAATCGGTACATTGAAAAATTATTTCAAAAAAATTATGACTTGTTTTGAGCTTTAGTTTCTTCCTACAAAAAGAAATGCTTTAATCTAGTCTGTAGCTTTCTAATTAGGTTCCACAGAGCTGTAAGTTTTTTTTTTTTTTTTGGTTTCTCTCCAATATGGGGAATCGAATTCAGGACCTTGCACTTGCCAGGCAGGTGCTGTGCTGCTGAGCTAAATCCCCAGCCCCACTGTAAGGTTTTAAAGAAGTGCCTCTGGAGCCACTGCGAGGGTAAGAGAAGATGGGGTGGGAGCCGAGGCCCAGGCAGTCCATGAACGATTGGGCTCTGAGGCTCATGAAGAGCTGAGCACCCCTTCTGGAGCCACAACACAACTCCTGTAGGAGACAGTCTGTGGAGAAGGTAAGCTGAGGCAGACAGAGAAAGGGTGTGGGAGGAGCCTCTGAGAAAACAGGCAAAGCCCTCCTTACCCTCCTTTTCAGCCACAGTCCTGGGGACGGGCCCAGTTCATGTTTCCAAACCTTATCAGTTAGTCAGGGTCCAAAGCTGGCAGTGCTGGGGAGTCTGCAAACCTAGCTGCAGTGTACTGGGGCTGGACAGGTGCTGTGTGGTGGTTTAAACAGGAAGTTAGCCCCACAACGAACTACCTGGGTTTCCTTGAGCTAACAACTTATGCTTCAGTTTCTCTATTGGTAAAAAGGAGCAACTATGCTTGAAAGGATGTGTAGGAAGGTGAGGAGCCAAGGAAAATTCACATCAAGTGAATTCACAAACAAGTACTAGAAAACTGGGCAGCTGCCTCTAAAGTCTTTATTATTATCACTGACCCACCATTCCACACACAGGGAAAACCAGAGGCACAGAATACATTATGTAATTGACGGTCACACAGCACTAGCAATCAAAGGCAGAAGATGCACTACTGGCTGCTTGCTATGAGGCTCCTGCTGCACAGGCAGAAAGTGATCCCCATGGGTCACTGAGTGGCAAGCAGCTATCCCAGATCTGCTTGACTCTAGCCTGGGCACCTCGCATGGGCCTACCATCCAGGCAGAGACAGACAGAAGATGCTGCTGTGGCCACAGAAGTCACATGCACACACACACATAAAACATCACATCATTTCCAAAGGGGTCACTCGGAAAGGTTAAACCTAACTTTTTCTGTGCCACCCCAGCTCTGCAGTCATCCCCAGAACCAACCTTCTGTGTCTTTTGCCCACCCTCCCTACTCCCGCCCCTAATGCACTTCAGGCCACTTGGCCAGTAGCTCCTTTCTTGGAGCGCCCGCGCTGACCGCTCACCCTGGCCTTTACCCACCCCACCATCAGTCACTGTGGTGACAGCAAGCACAAAGAAGGCCAAGTCCCAGGGAGCTGCAGAGAAATGAACACAAGTAGAAAACACCCCTTTCAATCACCTACACTCTTAAAAACAGAAAATGTGGGTAAACTGGGTCACAGTCCCCAAAAGAAGAAGCAAACACGCAGAGCAGTATCAGAGTACTCTTCCAGAGGAGGATGCACAAACTGCGAAGCCCAACAGATTGCACCATTAACTTCCACCTGTGTGGCACAGGCAAGGGATGATTCCGTTTCACTTGCTTGTACAACTGGATAACATCTCCTCTAAAGGGGTATTTCCAGGGTCAGTGAGCATGTGTGCCAAGTGCCCAGCATGAAGCCTAGCACTGGCCTGGGCTCCAGCCTTGGGTCCCTCCTCCTGTCATTTCTTTGCATCTAAGATACTTAGTATTCAGCACAAAATTCTACTTTCCTCAGAATCCTACCTCAAAGTCTTCCCTGCAAAGCACACCCATACTTGGCATCCTGTCACCAACTCACTGTGTATCCTTGGGCAGTCTCTTCTTCCCTAGACTCTGATTCCCCATTGTAAAATGAGGCTGTTGGGTTCAGATGATGTTGAGGAGCCCTTGCTGTGCTGACATTCTGACTGTACCAGTGTGCCCCAAGGTCATTCTGGTAACTGCAACTCCTTTAAACCCTGGCTAAAGCCTGGTGAATTTGAGGCTGGATGGAACGCAGGGAGGGGCAGAGCCTCAGTTCCCTCCTATTGCTAGCCTGAGAGCTGGAACAGCCCCTAACTTGCCAGAGGTAATGGGGCAGGGCAGAGCCTCAGGGCCTTCCTTAGCACACCTGTGTCGTAAAGATTCCACCACTGAGGCTGCCTTACTGAGGGATTAGAAGATGAGAGTGAGCAGGAGGTTGAGCCCCTAGAAGTTTGGCCTAAGTCCCTCTGGCCAAGCCCTCCCTGCCTTGCCCTTTAGCAAGTGGCCCAGTGCTCTGAAAGCCATGTGGTTGCTTTCCTTAAACAGGAGGGGCAGAAGGCAGAGACCTAGAGAAAGGGCCTGGGCTCACATCTGGATCAAGAGCAGTTTCCATAGCCCTAGAATTAATGCTCAGCAAGGGGCACAGCACACACTAAGCACTCACCACCTGTCACTCCCTTTCCCTTCTCCTAATTTGCTCAAGAGGAAATCAAGAGGAAGTACATGACGATGTGAACATCAAATAAACAGTAAGAAGGCCACAGGAAGGCATCTGTATCCAGAATTTCCAAGCACCCAGGGCACTATGTCAACAGGGCTCAAAAGCTAGAGAAGCTTCAAGACCATTCCTGGTCACTCTTACATATGCTATGGCACTTTGTGTGGCTCTTACTCCTTCCTGTGTGGGCCAGGCAGCTACCGTGATTCCTGAGTGAGGAGGACCACAAAGGGGCTTCTGGACCTGTGGCCTTCCCAACTCCATGCCGACACTCTACCTGAGATGGCTGATAACTGTGTTCTCCTTACGGACACCCCAGCATTTCCCTGCAGGTGGCTCACATCTGGCCACATCTTCGGGGTCCCACACAATTGTTTCGACAAAGTTCTGTCAGCCAAGCCCAACAGAAAACAGCCAGAAGGAGAAAGTCTATGTTTCCTATAAAGCCGTTCTCCTCCAGATTTTTCAAGCTGCTGTCAGCAAAGATTTCTGGATACATGGCCAAGGATACTTTTGTTCCTACTAATGTTTGGGTGTTCCCCTTTCACTAATCAATGAAAGCAGGTGACCCTGCCTAAGTTTCCCCTTTTACCTTGGCTGCTAGGAAGTTCCAAGTAAAGTTTTTATTTTATTTTTGTGTTTTTTGAGACAGAATCTCACTATGTAGCCCAGGCTGGGCAGCCTCAGCCTGTGGAGCCACCATCCCTGACTTCCAAGTAAAATTTTATGTCTTACATGCTATATTTTCAGCCAGAAACTTCTCTAGAACATTCCTCTTTCCTTTCTATTTACTTCTTGGTCCCTATCTTTGGTTAAGTGTACATGGTACCCTCCTACCTGTGCCCTACCAGTTTTTCCCTGATATAGGTAAAACATATGGTGGTGACCGTGAGGAGGCCTTAACATAGCACTGTTGCTCAACAACCACCTCCCTTGAAAGCACACACCTGCCCCAGGCCCCCTGCTCCTTCGCCACCTCTCCACTGACCCAGGAGTCCCTTGTGCTAGGCTTAAATGTGGCTTGTGCCTACAAAACTCCTGCTGGCTCACTGATTCCTCATGCGGCAGTGTACAAGGTGGGGCTCAGCACACATTTGGGTCTTAGGGTGGTGCTCTCATGAACAGACTTTTTGTGGGACTTCTGATTCTGAGGGGCTGGATTAGTGACCAGACTGTACTGTTTTCTTTTTTTTTCTAGGGTGGTTTTTTTTTGTGTGTGTGTGGTACTGGGGATCGAACTCAGGACCTTGTGCTTGCCAAGCAGGCACTTGTGCCACTGAGCTATATCCCCAGCCCCCAGGGTGTACTGTTATAAAGCAATATCACCCCTCTTCTATATATACCTGCTTGCTCTTCTGCTTTTTTTTCCCCTCTTGCTGTTTAAGATACAACCTGAGACCCTGGCCAGATGTAGCTAGCTCATCTTGAACACCTCAGCCTTCAGAATCCTAAACTAAATAAACCTCCTCTTTATAAACCGCTCAGTCTCAAGTATTCTACTACAGCAACAAAATGAACTGAAACACTGCCAGCTGCTCCACTTACCTGTCATGATCCTCTGGGCCTCATAGGGCTCCATGTAGCCTGCACTCTCCCCCTTTCCTGCTTTGCTCTTGAGGTCATTCTTGGCATCAAAGGGATCAGAGTAGTCATCGGCTATGGTCACCTGCAGGGAGCAAGAGGGATGTGAGGCCACCTTTGGCTTTTTTGTTTCACTTCCACTCACAGCCAGGCTTTATTCCATTAAGCATCAATTGTGCCTCAGCTGGAGGAGCAGGGAGGGAAGGGAGGAGGGAAGAGGAGATAGAAAGAGGAGCTGCCTCCCACCCCAAGACACTGTGGTCTCAAAGTCCCGTTAGGGGTCAGGAGTGGAACCCACACCAGCAGTACTCTGACATGAGGGCCCCTGCATCTGTGCACACGGCCAGGCTGGCTCCATGCAGCGTGGTGAAACCAGGCGTGGTGAGCACAGGTACACAGCACAGAGGTGTGAACCTGGTGGGTACACTCCAGGAGTGAGTTACTCAGTTTAGTAGGACAGAAACGGAGGAAATGCTGGAAACAGGAGTACACCAGACTGGGCGTCGTGGTACACGCCTGTAATCCCAGCACTCAGGAGGCTGAGGCAGGAGGATTGCTGAGTTCGAGGCCAGCCTGGGCTACAAAGTGAATTTAAGGCCAGCTTGAACTGCATAGGGAGACCTCGCCTCAAAAAAGAAAAAAGAAAAAAAAAAAAAAAAGAGTGCACCAGGCCTTAGAAATGCTGACGTGCGCCTGGTGCTGGCTGAGGCACACAGGAGCTCATCCAGAGATGATTATGTTCAGCGTTCCATTTTCCCCATATCTGGAACACAACCAAGCCTTGGGTCACTAGACAACAATTTGGTGAGATCAACACACTATAAAGATGACTATGGCCCCACACAGGCAAAGTGAAAACACAGAAGCAGCTCAGGGGTTGATGGATGCCAGGGCTAGAAAAGGCCTTGAGAGCAACAGACCCAAATGAAGATTCTTTTCTCAACACCTCGGTACTAGGTCCAGCGGGCTGCCAGATCTTCCTCTTGGCCCTTCCTGGTGTCCGCACCGGTGGGTCAGCCAGAGCCCAGCCCAACTCTCTCCCTGGAGAGAAGTTTCACTAGGGACAGAGGAAGATGAGTCACCTGGGCAGGCAGGAGGGGGAAGGGACTCTAAACCAAGTTCCATGTTTTCCCAGAGCCTTTGAGGGAACACAGACACTTTCCACCCGTTTCTGACTCCTGAACCTTGAGGAAGGCACACTCACCAAAAGCAAAGCACAGGAACATACGCAACGTGCCCTTGCCACGCACCAGCTTCACCATAAGCTCTCAGAATGACTGCCCCTTTGCCCTCTTTGATCAGGCACCTAACAAAGGGGAAGTACTCAGCCTCTACCTTTCCGCCAAGGCCACCCAGCTCCTCTCCTGGGAAGAGGGGTGGGTGAGCATTTCCCTCCACTCTGGGGGTTGTATGAATTGTTATTTAAATTGTGGGCTTAATTAGAAACCACAGGAGCCTCCCTCTCTCCCAGCTCCTGGAATGTAAGGCATCCGCAGGGCCTGTAAGCCCTGGGGAAGGGAAAATCTCCCTTTGTCTGCCTGGAGAATGGCCGCTTATAGCAGCAGCCCTGGCAGGGGGCACAAATGACCGCCAGCTGGCCGGAATGTGATGCCCACTGAGGGACAGGGGGCTGTAGCTCTGCCTGTTATGTAGTTGGGCTGATAGGAAGTGTGGCACCCAATGGTCTCTGCACCTCAAACAGAAAAATGCTCACTAGGGAAGACCCAAGCCTGCAGCACCCAGCATGGGATCATCAGTGGCCACTTCCTCCTCCCACAGGCTCTGGGTTCCAGTAGGTGCTTCCAGAGGCTGACGTTATAATCGTAGCCTTGCTAGAGATTCAAGAAGCTCCAGTGACTAAGACCAGGAAAGAAGAGGGTGGGAGAGAGCCTGGCCTGATGGTGTCTTTCATTTGATATTTCTACTCTACCATTTGCAGAACACATTAGGGAGAAAATTATACATATGGAGCACCATCAAACAGAATGGTTAAGATCAGGGGCCGGGTTTTAAAATCAAGGGACCAGACATCCAAATAGAGAAAATGATATAGCTGTGGATGTAGATGACATCTGATCTTCAGTCTCTTGACCCACACTTCCTCACAGTTTTCAACATGAACATTCTCCATCTAGTCTGCAATAAGCAAGAGAATAAGTATTTCCCAAGAAAGCAAAATGATATTGAGAGATTCGCTGGGGAACGAGGGGGGGCAGGGTTGGAGTCACCATAGTAACCTAGAAATCGGCATTCCAGCTCCTTGTAGAAGTGTTCTGTAATTTGCAAACGTGGAGGCTTGCAGGACAGAAACCAAATCTTTGTTTGCCCTGGGGCAGGAGCTTCGGGAGGCCTGTGATTTAGCAGGTGCTATCTATATTTTCTAATTAAAATAAGGTCTGAGCTCAGACTGTAGTGGGCCTCCAGCTGCCTCTGCTGCTTACTTCCATTTCAATAAGAATTTACAAATCCTAAAACCAGGAAAAGCCCCTAGTCTCTGCTGACATGTGGTTCCAGTTATACCTGCTGACAGTTGAAAATCCTTCCGTTTAGAAAAAAAGTTTAGAATTCTGTTCGTTTAAGCAGCAAATTGGAAGGTTCCTAAGATGTATATTTAATCAATTTGCTTTTCAACTTCAAAGTAAGGTTGGTGGAGGAAAGGGACTTGGAGGTTTGAGCAACCTGAAACTTGGCAAACACTACACTCAACTGTCTGATCTTACTCAAAAATCATGTGCTATTAGGGAGTAAAAGTTTAGCCAGGTGTTAGTAGAGTTGAGTAGGCCGGCCGCCAGGGTACCATGTGCAGTGTCACAGGCCCCACCCAGCCATAAGGACTGGGCAGTGTGGCCATTGTGCAGGCTGCCTGGGTTCACCATAAACCAAGGTGGCCGGTCAGGAGGTTTGCTTGAAGGCTGCCTCTGAGTTTCCCCAGATGTGGGCCTGGATTCCTGCTGGGATTGCTTTTACTTTGCCCCAATTAGTAGCCAAGTCCTGTAAATCTAACTCCACAATTCAACCAAAAGGTAGCCAGCCAGGACTTTTCTGCAAGCCAGGTCACCTGGGTGCACAAGAAACTTTCCTTGGACTTTGACCTAGATTGCAAAGACTAATAGTTGACTGGATTTCTGGAGTATAGCTACTTGCAGCCATAGGGGGCAGAAGCAGGGCTGAGGTAGGAACGAAGGCCATTGGTCCCACCTTCCTGAGGAGGCGAGCAGCAGCAGCTGCAGTAACAGGACAGGGAATAAGCGGGCTGCCTCTTGCTCTACTGTATCATCTTCCTGTGATGGACTCTGAACCCCAGGCAAGCACCTTTTCTTGCTTTCAAACAAAACTATAAACACTAAGTCAGCCTGAAGTTCCCAAAGGACATTCATAGGCTCATGAAGCAGTGAGGCTGCCAATCATGGAAAGACCAACTCTAGCCTCTGCTTGTTTTAAATATGGTCCCCTGTACCCAGAAGGACAGGGCTTTGTCACTGTTGCCCTGCCAGCCAGCAGTACAGCCTTAGGACTAGCCTACTGACTCCCACACTGGGGATCTAGACCCTACCACACCCACAGCCTCTCCACCACAGCTCTCTGGGCTGGCTGCAGACTGACAGTTGGCTCTCTGTGACTTCTTCCTGTCTTGTACATGACTGTTGGGTGGAACCTGGTCCCTTCCAGCAGTCTGCGCCCTGGATGTTTTGATCTGAGGGATCAGCTATGTGATAGGAAGTAGTCTTCCTGTTCACCCCCAAAGGGAAGTGCTAAAGGAAGGTGGGTGTTGCCATTTGGCCATATTTCCATTTAGCCTGGTAAGAGTTTTAGTTGCTTTTATAAGATACAGTAGCTGCCACCTGCATGGAGAACTAGGGCCTCTCCAGGGCTCTCAGTAGCCATGTACTTGGGTAGAGCCACTTTGAAGGGTAACTTTTGGCAGAAACCATTAAAACTCCTAAATGCATACATTTTGATCCAACAACTTCACTCTTCAGTATGTATTTCCAAATATGCACAAAGATGCTCACTGAACCAAGTAATAATAGGAAATTGCAACACTATCAGTATATCCATCAATAAAACATTTAGTTCCATTCTATGGAGTATTATGCAATAAGTTAAAAAATGTGCTAACTACATGTGCTTGGCATAGTGCTCCAGGATGCTGCTTTGAATAGAAAGAAAGTAATTATGGGATGATAAATCAACATGACACCTACTTATGAAAAGTAACACAAAAGCCTGTATCTCTATTAATTTAAAGAAAAGATCTGGGGAGAAGCACACCTCAAACTAACCCCTCCAGGACTAGGGTTCCGGGAAATTCAAAGGATGCTTGTGAGTATTGCAATGTCAAAAAAAAATGTGCAAAGAAGGAGAATCTATTCATGTATTAAATGCAAAACTAAACATGTTGAAAAGCACTCCTCCTCCATAGGCTATTTTTGGTACAGCAGATAGACTATTCCCTAAACTTGCCTGAAGATAGAAATGGCCTGGAACGCTTGTTAAGACAACAGACTCCTGGCCCCCATAATCTGTGTATTTAACTAGAAACCCAGGTGATTCTTATCATCTATTCTGTTTGAGAAACAGAAGGCTAGCGCCAACCCTTCCCCCACCAGTCTGAAGGCAAGTATCCAGACATTACTCTGGAATTTCGCTTTTCCCAGCTACTTCTCAGACCTGCTCATTAAAGTCAAATAAGAAGTTAAAAGTCAAGCAAGAAGTCTCATCTACTGCAGCTTTCCTGCCTTCTCACTGGGGGTCAACAGGGGTGAGAGCTGACCCAACACACCTTTATCTTTTTCAGGATATCTCAGTATGGAGGGAAGGACACCCTCCTATGCAATTCTGAAACTGGCTCTGGATTAAGCAACATAACCTCTGCAGGCCCACGGGAGCGGGGGTGGGGTGGTGGGATGGTGGGGGTAGGATCCCAGTCCTGAGAACCATAAGGCTCCAGACATTTTGGATTACATCCACTTGGCTCTCAGGAAACCCCTCCAGGAAGGTCTCCCAGCTCCCAGGAGAAAGTGGTAGCGCAAGAGAAGACACTGCAGAAGGACAAAGGAGGTCCCTACTAACAAAGGGACCTTA